CACCACCATCCCATCACTGCTACTCAACATCGCCATGTCATCACCACCATCACCACCACCATCCCATCACTGCTACTCAACATCGCCACATCCATAACCATCACCACCACCACCTCCATCGCCACTAGAATTAGCACCACCACCACCACACAACAGCTCCCTGTTCCCACCACCATCCCCCTCACCAGCACCACAGTTAACCAGTCCTCATCTTCCCCTTCAATATCTGGTGACCACTCCCAGGGCTCGTGTGCCTCCAGCAGGGTTTCAGAAGTTAGAGAAAAACCAATTAGCTGTACTATGCCCTTGGCCTGCATCTGTTGGGAGCTGTAATTTCTGAACAAGAGTAAATTGAGGAAAAAGAAAGCTGTTAGGAGGATGTGTTTACCCAACAGATCTCTTCTTTTAATTTGGGAGTGCAATATTGGAATTGCACTTGAATATTTTCTTATTTCTCTTCATTGTAACATTTTACGGTTTTAGCTACAGTTTTGGAAACAATATAAACAGCGTGCCCTGGAATATCTGAGTTTTGTCCTGCATCTTTGAATTTATTTTGTCCCCGATTATGACACTTTTGAGGCTTGTTTATTTTGGCTTTTCCAGAGAAACTTTAAAAAAAATACAGGATTTTCATCAGCCACATTTCTTTTCCTAGCCACATCACAACAGGAATTTACTTATTTATTTATTTTGTGAGGAAGATCAGCCCTGAGCTAACATCCATGCCAATCCTCCTCTTTTTTTTGCTGAGGAAGACTGGCCCTGAGCTAACATCCGTGCCCATCTTCCTCCACTTTATGTGGGACGCCGCCGCAGCATGGCCTGACAAGCGGTGCGTCGGTGCGCGCCCGGGATCCGAACCCGGGCCGCCAGCCGTGGAGCACACACACTTAACCGCTACGCCACAGGGCCGGCCCCACAACAGGAATTTAAATTGTGTTTTCTTTACAGCTCTCTTTATATCCTACTGGTCCCAAGCTGGACTCCTAACAGCTGTGGGCAAAGACTCTGCGTTGTACTTGCTGTGTGACCTAGGGCAAGTCCTTAAACTCTCTGTGCCTCAGATCTCTCATCTATGAAATGGGGACAGTAGCACCCAGTGTTGTTGGGAGGATAAGAAGATGTTGAGCACTTAGAACAGTGGAGAAGGCACTGAATAGGTGTTAGCTATTATTATTTTTATTCTACCCATGTCGCGGCTGCACTATTTGGGCACCCAAGGTAAGCCATGCAGATGCCACTTCTCAGTAACACGAGAGCCCACAAGTCCCCACCCCAGCTGGCTTCGGGACCCTCCCCAGGCTGAGGCATTTGTGGCTTTTAACCACCTGCCAGGCCAACCAGTGGCTACTTCATTTTAGTCCCCATCAGCCAGCAGAGTGCCACTGCCTTGGTCAACACGAGGCAAAGGGGCTCCTGAGGCCCTTTTTGGAGGGCTCCCCAAATTAGATCAAGGCACACCCCGAATGAGCTCCCCATGGCGGGAGTGGGGGTGGGAAGGTTAAATGGGTACAGGAAACCTTACCCATGTGACCCAGAGTCCCAAGCATCATCACGGGTTAGCTGGTCCTGAGAGGTGTTGAGTGCGCGTGCACACACAGACACCCACACACACAGACACACACACACACCCCTCCAGCGCCACCCAGGCCCTTGCTCCTGTGCTCCTGTCCCTCTTCCTCCTCCCCCAACTTACTCCAGATGGCTGAGGTCGTCACACTTGCCCAGCAACCAGCACAGTGGCTCCACGTGCTCCTGGCTGAGGCCGCAGCCCGTGAACCTGCTGGAGGAGTGGGGAACAAGCCAGGGATGGGGCCTTGAGCCACTCAGATCCGCTCTGCCCTGGCTCGTCTTGGGTGTGGCCTCCAAGCTCCGGTGGGGCCTCACCCGAGCTTGGATTCTCTGGAAATACCCAGCATCCACCACTCCCCACCTCCCCTCCCAGTGGATCCCACCTGGCACCTACATTCTCCCTCTGAGGAGATGGTTCTCAAAGTGTGGTCCCCGACCAGCCAGACATACTAGCTTCGCTTGGGAACTTGGTGAGATGCAAATTCTGGGAACCCAGCCCAGACCCACTGATTCAGCAACTCTAGGGGCGGGGCTCTCCAGGTGACCCCGATTCGAACTCAAGTTTGAGACCTACAGCTCTTGGGGACACTTTAATGAATAGACATGTGGGGTGGGGTCGGGGAGGATAAGGGTGATGTCTGCTCTTGCAGAGGGCTACTGATGCTGGAATTAAAAGTAATAGTAAGTCTGTCTCTGAAAGGCCTAAACTGAGACTACACAGTAAGGTAAATGAAGGGCTTATGACCAGCCAGCAACCAATAAAAAAGAATCTTAAAATCAGAAAATACCTAAAATCAATATCTCAAATTTTGATTGCTGTTACTTTCCTTCATGATTTTTCCATGTTCCTAAATTCCCTATTCTACCATTACTTACTTCCCATTTTAAATCAGCTCATTCTGTTTATTTAAGGCATTTATTGTAAAAGGAAACCCTGTATCACTCAAATGGAAAACTGGCATCGAGGGCCACAAATAGATCATAAACATAAGAATACATGAAATGACAGCAAAATATCATCGTTAAATTCGAGCCAGATATTGACATCTGCTGAGGGCTCTCTCTTTACTGAAAAGGGAGCTTAGTGGGGCCGGCCCGGTGGCGCAGTGGTTAAGTTCGCATGCTCTGCTTTGGCAGCCCAGGGTTCACAGGTTCGGATCCCGGGCACGGACCTACACACTGCTCATCAAGCCATGCTGTGGTGGCATCCCACATACAAAATAGAGGGGGATGCGCACAGATGTTAGCTCAGGGCCAATCTTCCTCAGCAAAAAGAGAGAAAAAAGGGGAGCTTAGCAAGTGGAAGAGAGGTGTGAAAGAGATGTGAACACCCAACTGAGACTTCCTCTTGGCTGCAATCAGACAGAGAATTGAAAAGGAAATAACGACCCCACCAAGGGATTCAATGAGGTTGAAGACTCTACTACCTGCCCAACCTCCTAAAAACCACCCCTTCCTGATCCACGTCCCGCATTTTGGAAACCGCTGACTTAGAAACTACCACGGCCTTTCAGGAGCCGGGCTAGTGCTGGGCGAGGACCGGAGTTGGACAACCATCGCGGCCGCCTGCTTTTGCATTGTGAGCTAAGAATGAGTTTTCCACTTTCAAATGGCTGAGAAAAAAAATCAAAACAAGAATAATATTTCGTGACGCATAAACAATATTTGAAATTGGGGTCTCCGTGTCCATAAACACGGTTTTCCCGGCACGCGGCTACACGCACGGGTTTACGTGTTGTCTGAGCTGCTTTCAGGCCATGAGGGTGGGGTTGAGGAGCAGCGACAGAGACCGTACGGCCTGCAAAACCCAAATATTTACAATCTGACCCTTTACAGAAAAAGCTTGTCTGTTCCTGGCCAGGAGCACTGTCGGACTGCCCGGGTCCGCGTCCCAGCTGCCCCCTGACCGCTGTGTGAGCACAGCTGTGGGCTTATGGGAGGCGTTATGCACGAGGCTCCTAGAATGGCGCCTTGAAGATGCTCAACAAATATTAGCTATTCTATTTATTGTTATTTCCCAGCAGAGGAGGCTGAGGCCGAGAGGAGAGGGTCTGGTCCGAGGTCTCTCAGTGAGCCAGTGGCATCAAATAGCAGAAATGTCGTCTCTGCATCTAGAGGTTGCCCTCCTGCCCATTATCCTGCCTCCAGCGCAAAATCTCCTCCCCCTCACCCGAGCAACCACAGAGCACTGGTCCAGGAGTCAGCAGGCGAGGGATGCTCGTGTCTGTGAGTGCCTCATGCTTCACATATGGTCTCATTTAATCCTTGCAAATGCCCTGCAAGATGGTGTCTCCCTTCTACAGCTGTGGAGGCAGAGGGTCGGGCACCAGGCTCTTGCAGAGCTGGGATTTAAAGCCTGGTGGGCGGGTTGTGAAGTCCTTTTCCTCCGACCAGGCCCCTGAGTTCTGGTCCAGTCTGATGTGTACTGCTTGTCTGCCCTTGACGGAGCCCGGCCCTCTCTGGACCTCTGCTTCTCCATGTTGGAGGAAACAAGTCTCCCTGCAGGGGAATGCTCTGCGGCAGGCAGTCTGTTCTCTGCTCTGGCCGTCTGGGAGGCAGGTCTGCTGGTCCCCAGTACCCACTGGCTGCCGGGGCAGGGTTCCGGGGGACTTACCCGCAGCATCCGCCGGCCTGCTCCTCGCTAGACCTGAAGTGCAGGGTCGCGTGATGCAGGGACCTGAAGCAGACAGCGCCCGGGTCAGCTGCCCTTGGCCACAGCCTCACCCCTCCTCCAGAAGCTGAGCCTCTGACTTGGGTCCCTGTACCTCCATCCCACCCCCCCGACACCCGCCCGACGCCAGGCACAACCCTCCAAGACTAGGCCTGGTTGTCCCAGAGGAATGCTCACCTGAGGTCCACCTTCTGGACCCGTGGGCACAGGCTGAAGAGGGCGGCCAGCATGAGGGGGCTCCTTGGGGGCAGTCCCGTCTGGCTCAGCCTGACAAAGAAACGGGCGGGGCCCTAGTCGGCAAGTGGGAGCCAAGCAAGATCAGCGGGCAAGGAACTGGGATAGACTAGAGCACAAGGAACAGGAGGATGGGGAGGGCTGGCAGGTCAGGAAGGCAACAAGGAAGAAGACAGGGACTCAAGAGGGACAAATAGGGGCTGGGGTCAAGCAGACTCGGGTTTGAGCCCTAATTTTGCTTACTGGCTGTGTGTCCTTGGACAAGTCACTTAACCTCTCTGTGCCTCAGTTTCCTTATCTGGAAAACAGGACTACTCATGGTATTCCTTCCTCTATGGTGAGGATTTAACTATATCAAGCTTGTGCACTGCCTAGCACAATACCCATGCTGTTGTTATGACTACTCTTGTTTCTACCCTCAAGCACGGACCTAACAGGCGAGTCCCTGCTGACAGGGAGTGGGAAGCTGCAGGCTCTTAGAGCATAGTTCCCCAGCCTCAGCACTACTGAGATTTGGGACTAGATCTTCCTGTCGAATGTTCAGCATCATCCCAGACCCTACTCATTAGACGCCATTAGTAGCGCTCTCCTGCCTCCCTGACCCCCCTCTATCATGACAACCAAAAATATCTCCACTGTCAAATGTTCCCGGGGGCAAATCACCCCTGGCTGTGAACCACTGCCTTAGAGAAAGTGGGATGGTTCCTTCCTGCCCTCGGAGGCATCCTCAGTGTCTTCATTTCCCTCACCCCTTAAACCCTCCATCAGCTTATCTTGTCAGTTCCACTCCCAAGATCCACTCTGAATCCACCCACTTCCACCCCACCCCCACCAATTCCCAGCCCCCACCACCTCTCACCCTGCCTGCACAGCCTCTTCCCTGCTCTCATTCCACTCCTGTCCCCCAATCCCTTCTCTACCCAGCAGACAGACTGAGCTTTGGAAAACACAAATCATTCCTCTGCCTTTCAAGTTCCCTTGGACGAAACCCCAAACTCCTCCCCATGGTGACCAGGCCCTGTGTGACCCGGCCTGGTCCTTCTCTCCACCCCCTCTCCTACAACTCTCCCTGTCAGTCACTATGCTCTGGCCGCATTGGCCTTCTGGCTGTTCCTTGAGCCCACCCAGCTCAATTATGCCTCAGGACCTCATATATGCTGTTCCCTCTGCGTGGAATGCTATTCCTTGCTCTTCACAAGACTGGGTCCCTTTCTTCCCTCAGGTTGCACCTCAGTGTCCCTCCTCAGGGGCGTTCCCTGACTACCCTCACCATTGTCTAAATCACCTGCCCAGTCACCTCTACCACATCACCTGGAAAAATACCTTATCTCTGTCTGAACTCATCTTACTCGCTTTTACTTTGCTTCTTGTACAGCTCCTTCTACAAGGTAAGCTCCAAGAAGACAAGGACCTAGTTGTTTTTTTTTTCCCTCTCTGCTGTGTCTTCAGAACCCCACACAGTGCCTGGCCCACAGCAGTGCTCAGCACCAGGGACTGAATAATATAAAGCATCAGCCCTAGCGATAGACGGTCGGGCTGGCTGCCTCATTCCAAAGACAGATGAGGAGTTGAGAACTGATGCTGTGTGACTCGGGCAGAGAGAAGCCCCTCTCTGGTCTGAGGTTTCCTACCTGTTCCTTTTCACCCACCACCTTCTGTGTCCAAAGGAGCCCTTTCTGACCCGTCCTCTCCCGGCGGGGGGACCACAGTGGGTGCCGTGCGTGGACACGAGCCCTGTTGCACTTGCCCACCTCTGGAACGTCACACATCTCCTCCCGCCCTCCCAGACGGGACTCAGGGAGAGGCGAGCCCCTGGATGTGATGTGAGCCGTCTCAGGCATTGCAGAGCTCCTGGGCATCGGGACCTATGCTGCTGTTATTAACCGAGTGATTTAACTTCCTGTTGGATTTTTCCATCTCAACTGCCGCTGCTTTTCCCCCCTGCTAGGAGAATATTTACAGCAAATCCTTTCTAAATTCTAACCACTCTGAGCTGAAACAGAAAACAGAGTTTTAAATACTTTGGGGGATGCTGCTTAAATTCCCCTCTCACGGAGTAAGATGGTGACCTTTAAAAGATGGCATGTGACATATACACGACCTACATCTGTAAAGTCCCTTTCTAGGAGCAGGTGACGTTTCTGTGGGTGGGGAGAAGTATGACAGCCCATTTGTCACAGGCCTTCCATTCTTCAAGGTGCTTTTAGAGCAACTGTCTTGTTTGAGTCCCAACCCTGGGGGAGGGGTTGGGGAATATTAATCCCATTTGTCAGATGAGGAAACTGAGGCTCAAAGGGGTCAAATAACTCTCCCCAAGGTCGATAAAGTATTAAGGAAGAGCTGGAAGCAGACTCGAGCTCCCACTCGTGCTAGGCAAAATGATGAAAGAGCCCAAGAGAAGGAGGGAGTAGGGGAAGGGGACGGCTTTGCCCAGCACAGGGCGACGGGGAAACCAGCCTTACTGCAGCAGGCTCAGCTGGGGGAGCCGGGACAAGCGGTGCAGCAGGGTCTCCAGGCTCTGGTCACTCAGGACCTCGCAGGACAACCTGTCAAACAAAGCATCTGCATGAGGTGGGGAAGCCTTGTGGAAAGTGAGGAATGTGGCCTCACGGCCTGAGCCTTCTGGAGATGGGTCCTGAGCCAGGGTTGCCCAAAACATTCGCTCCAAACGCTGGGTCCTTGAGTTATCACTGAGGCTGGAGGAAAAGGAAGGTCATAGAAGTTTGGAAAATGCTGGGTTAAGACAAATTAAACAGTTTTCTTGGCTGCAGGACTTCTGAGAGCCTTTAATATGCTGCTGTGCATTGTGAATTTCCAAAGGGCTCTAGTAGACTTTTTCCCCCAAACGACATGGACTAGCAGGATTATTATTTTGAGGGCCATAAAGATTGGTGCTATGCAAACACTCTTGTTAAGAAGAGAATGCCGCCTTAGCTGCAGTCGTGAACACAGCAGTGGAAATTCAGGCAGCAGGTCAGAAAGGAGGGACGCCGGCTAGCTCAGGTCTTGATCAACCGTCGAAACCAGACCAACCAGCTGATCACTTGTGCACATAATTCATCAGAACCCCGTCCGCTTAGTAGATACTCCAGATACCCAGCCTTTGGTGCCTGCTCTGGCCGCAGGACCGGACAACCAGTCTCTAAGCGCCCTGGGTTTACATGGCCTCCCCCGGGAGTCCCACCTTCCCCAGAGGCGTTGGGCTGTATTTTCCTTCTGCCCCTTTTTCCCTCTGTCCCTGTTCCTATGTCCCCTGTGGGCTGTCCTTTCCCCTCTCTGGGGCCTCCAGGAGCCCGACCCAGCTCCACTGCGCTGTTCCCTGGTTGGGGGGACAGAGGGCGGGGCGGCCCGCAGTCCTGGAGCCGGGAGCCTTGCCTCGCGGCCGAACCTCTGGCCGCGCCCAGGCTGCAGGCTCAGCTCTGCCCGCTCCATCTCAGGGCTGGGCCTGGGGCGCTGAGCACAGGCAGAACAGGGGCCTTCACTGAGGGGTGGTCCATCCACAACACGTGCCTGCACGGCTTCCCCCCCGACACCAAATACACTGCTGTGGCCTCTGGTTGGGTCAACGCGGGGTTTACACGTTTTTTTTAAGCAAGAGTACTTTTACCCATTACAACGTCCCACCTGGAATACTAAAATGTACACAGGCAAAGTGGGCCTGCAGTGGTGGAATTTGGGGAGCGGGCTGGAGCCCCACCAGCCTCCCTGGCCTCCCTTGCAGAATCCCAGGACACAGCTGGCCAATCGCTGGACTATTAAGTACCTTGGTAACAATATTCCTGTGCATGGTCCCAGCACTCTACAGTTGGCAAAGTGCTTCACACTCACGATCCCACTTCCTCCAACCACAGAGAAGGGAGGGGGCCCTTAGACCCCCATCTGTGCTCAGACCACCCACCACGGCCTGCGGGCAGTTTACACAAAGCCTCCCACTGCAGACAATGAGCCTCAGGGCAAGTCCCAGGTGTCCCTATATCCCCAGAGCCTGGTATACAGTAGGTGCTTAACAGTTAAAAAACGGAAGAGTGCTCTTTGCAGCATTGGCTGCAGTACTACAGAAAAACCTGGAAGCAGCCTGATGTCCATCTAGACTCTAGACAGGGGTGGCTAATAACTTGTGGCACATCCAAACTGTGGAGGGTTAGTATTAAAAGGCATGAATACACAAACATTGTGTGAGAAACACAACAGAGACAACCAAGGACAACTAAATGTTGATGGGATGTTGGATGATTTTAGTATGTCACAAAATAACATTCATATTTTAGGTCTGATCATGGTTTCGTGGTTATGCTAAAAAATAAAGAGTTTTTATCTTTTAGCTATGAAATATCTACAGATGAAATTATACAGTGTCTGGGAATTGCTTCAAAATAACGTGTGTGTGCGCGTTGGGGCCATGAAGCGATGACTATTGACGTGGGTGGACGGGAACTAAGGGTCCATTAGACTATTCTCTCTGCTTTGATATATGCTTGAAAGTCTCCCTAATAAAAGCATTTTTTTAAATTAAAAAGTAACTTTACAGGGGGGAAATTGGACAAACACAACCTTGGCCAGGTGACCGAGGTCAACATCAACAGTGATAGGTTGTGTCCACAGCATGCACCCCTGAGATGGGGTGAGAAGGGCACTTCCCCTCCGTGGTATCTTCCCCTGAACCCATCACCCAGGTTTAACCAAGAGAAAAACATCAGACAAACCCAAATTGAGGGACATTTCACAAAACATCTGTCCAGCACTCCTCAAAACTGTCCAGGTCACGAGCAACATAGAAAGATGGAGAAACTGTCATGGACCAGAGGAGGTTAGGGGAGGTGATAACTAAATGCAATGTGGGGTCCTGGACGGGATTCTGGATCAGAGAAAGGGCATTAGTGGAAAAACTGGTGAAATCTGAACAAAGCCTGGAGTATAGTTAATAGTCGTGGAGCAAGGCTGGTTTCTTACTTGTGACAAAGGTACCACAATCGTGAGTGACGTTAACAACCAGGGCAACAGGGGGAGGGAACTCTCTGGACCAGCTTTCAACTTTTCTGTAAGTCGCGTCTTAAACTATCTCAACATAAATGGTTTCTTAAAAAAATTCATCGGCTCCACGTGTCTTGATATTCCAGGAAAGCCACGAGGCACTGTCATGAGTCAAAAGCTTGTGGCAGATATGTCACGGCTAAGATGCTGTGTCTGTTAACAATGTCAACCCTCCCTCCACGTGTTTGAATTTGGAGAAACGCAGGAAGGACACACGCCAGGCGATCAACCTGGATAAGCCTGTTGCAAGGGCCAGAGGGGCATTTGAGACGGGAGCCAGAAAGCAGGAAAAAGACGGCAGCAAATGGAAAAACTCATAGGGCGCGATGTGGAGTGCAATTGTAGGATGCAGCTAGGCTGTGCTGCAAAGAAGTAAAAATGGAATCTGCAAACGGACGAGGAGCAGAAGGTCACGGAGACAGAAGATAACACTGATTTGATGGGGGGAAGGGGCTGTTGAGGGGAGGCAGGTTTGTCTTGGATTTCTTTATTTTAAGGTAATTACTGGAACACAGTGACGATGAAAGGGAAGGCTGACCGTCCACTCTGAGGATGACAAAGCTGAGGCCCAGGGGGTTACAGCCATCTGTCCAAGTCCCCCAGCCTGCAGGTGGCTGAGCCAGGACTCCTGACTCCCAGTCCAGGCTCTGGTCACAGACCCAGGTGTCCTGGGTGGGTGAGCTGGTGACCTGGAGCGGGGGATGCCCTGAGGAGGGGCCTTCAGAAGGGACAGGCTCCAGCCACGGAGGCAGACCCAGGTGGGCGCCGGGGCGGGGCTGCAGGAGTGGAGGGGGTGGACTGGGGCTTCAGGTGCCCTGAGCTGAGCGGATGGGGACGGCGAAGCCCTAGGCTCAGCACAGCCGCTCTCAGTGGCGGGGGGAGGTGCCTGAAGCTAGGGCGATTCGGAGGCAAAGAGCCTTCTACCAACACATCAGGGGACTCCCGTGGGGTAGGACTACGGGGTCTGGCGGGAAGGGACCAGGAAGGACCCCTCCCCACCCCAGGTCACCGGGCAGATGCCCACCTTGTGCCCTCTGGGGCTATGTCCTCCTTACTTACGTGACTTCCAGAGGCCCCGGGCACTTCTCTAGAGTCTCACAGAGGCGGAGGAGGCTCAGGGGCTCCAGCTGACACTCCCTGAGGCTGAAAACAGACAGTGGGCAGGGCAGGGGGTCAGAGAGGGCTCAGGGCCCCTGTCCAGCCCCAGGGGCTCCCCCTTCTAACAACCCTCCTCCCCCACTGCAGGCTCCTCCCCCCCTCCCCGCCAAGTCTCCCCTACAGCCCCCGTTCCCACCACCCTGACAGCCACAGTAAAGGCCCCCTGGGGGCCCAGCTGCCCTCCTCCAGCCCCTAAGTCCTGCCCACTGCCCCTGCCTGAGTCTGGGCCACCATCACCACTCGCCTGGACCACTTCAACACTCTCTGGGCATCCCCTCTCGATCCTGCAATCCTTCTCCATCCCGGTCTTATCTAACAGTGCAAATCTGACCAGCCTCTCCTGTGTTGAGAACCCCCTATGGCTCCCCATTATCCTTAGGCTAAAACCAAAACACCTTTTCCAGGGCCTCACTCGCCTTCCTCTCCCCATATAGGCTCGGGCTGCAAGGAAATGCCGCCCCAGAGCCCAGCTTTTACTCCTCAGGGCCTCTGCACGAGCTGGCCCACCTGCCTGGGACACCCCTACTCCCATAATCCTGCTCAGGCCACAACTTAGGTGCCTCTCTTCTTAGGTGAGGAAATCGAGGCCCGGAGAGGGGAGGGGCCCAGTCCGGGTCTCACAGCCCCTCAGGGCAGAGCTGGGAGAGCTCTTTTCATTTTCTTCAGAGAAAATGATGGGGCATCTTTCCTTTTAGAAGAATGCTGGGCCCAGCAGCACCCCCATACTTGTCCCCCGTTCTTTTCCCTTCTCTCAAACTCTTTCCTCTCTCCCAATCCCCACCCCAACCCCCCAGGCTCTCCTCACTCCCTGGCCCCTCACCCCCGCTGTGGGTACCCCCAGACAGGAAGTGGATAAGACAGTACCAGAAGCTCCTGGGGATGCAGTGCTGACCGGACCCTGAGAAATGGGCTCCAGCCGGGAATTCTGGCAAAGATCCCCCAGCTGACAGGTCCCTGGAGTGGAGAGACCATTTTGAGAGGGAGGTTCAAATCCTCCACAGCGGAGACTAGACTCATTAGTTGGGGCTGGAAGGGGCCCTTGAGACAATCAAGCCCCTCACTGTACAGATGGGGAAACTGAGGCCCAGGGAAGGGAAGCCAGAGCGAGAAAGCCAGCAGTCCAGCACCTGAGCGGTTTGTGGGGAGCTAGGACAGAGCCCCTCCTCTCTCTGACCACCTCTCTTCTTTTGGCTTCAAGAACCCAGAGGGTCCCCAGAAACGGAGACTCTAGCCTGGGAAGCAAAACCATCCCGGCCTTGGGCCACCTCTGGCTTCTGACAGCCCAGCTGGTGTGGCAGTGCTTCTCCCCGACATGTTAGCTGGGACCACTCTGCCCGCTGGCCCCACCTGAGGCCGCCCTGGCGCTTGCCAGCCTCCCAAGTGAGACCAGGGTGCCCGCCCTGAGGGGGCAGCAGGGAACATCTGTGGGGAACTACTGTTCATTATTTCCTGCAAAGATGTGGAAACTTTCTCAGAGCACCAACGGTTTCTGGCTTCTCAAATGTGATACTCAGAGTGTGAAAGGGCGGTGACTCACACGAAGTCACAAGTCTGCAAAAGTCCCCGAGAGGCAGAAACACAACTGCTCCCCTCCACCCTCCCACGTGGCAGCAACATGCTGGCACCTGTCCTGCTGGAGCATCACCTGTTGTCCCCTCCATCCCTCCCATCTGCACTACCTTCTTCCAAAAAAGATCTAAGGCAGCGGATTACTGCAAATTTATATGGCCGGGGTTGGTGGGGAGGGGTGACGTTTACAGAAGCGGTAATTAATTCTAGCATGCCAGACGTGGGTGGGTTACTGGAGGGCTAACAGTGGTCAGCATGGGTCTGGGGGCATGGGCACCTGTAGGAAATGGGGACCAGAGGGAGAGGGGAGCCCACCCAACCCTGGGAGCTTTCCCTTCTCACCTGCCTCTTCTGTCACCTCTCAGGATGACGCGTTGGCTCTCAAAGCTGCAGGCAGAGAGGAGGCAGCCGTCTGAGAAAGGGCCAAGGGCCCGCTTCCCAGGCGGCACAAGGGACCAGACTGGCCGGGTCGAGGGGGGCCTGGAGGGTGGCTCTCTTTTTCAGCAAATATGACAATAAATATATGAGGTGACAGCTACATTTATTAAGGCACATACGAAGCACACCACAGACGCAATCTCCTTTGATTCTCACAATAAAGCTGTGAGAGAAGGAAGTATTCTTACGCCCATTTTACAGATGAGAAAACTGAGGTATGGAGAGGCTCAGTGACCTGCTCAGAGCTGCACAGCAGGTAAGTGGGCAGCCTGGATTGAACCTGGTCTGTCTGCTATCGCACCCCCCACTCTCGGGAGGGGCAGGGGAGGAATGGGCAGACCTCACCTGAAACCATGGATGATCTGCACTGCATGGCCGGGGCTGTGCAACTGGGTGCCTTCCCTTCTCTGGGCTCATCAGCTCCAGAGGCCCCACCATAAAGGCGGGTCCCTGAGCACTCAAGGACCACCAGGGAGCTCCCAGGTTTCTTAAGTCTCCCAGGACAACCCAGAGAGGGAGTAAGGGAGAGTAGATGGATTGTGTCCCATGGTGAATTTGGAGAAATTTGAGCTTCCCTGGGGCTATATTCATTCATTCGTCTATTCATTCATTCATTCAGTGGACACCATCACGTGTTTGCTGGACCTGATATCATACAAGGCTCTGAGGATGCGACATGGTGACTATGACAGATGAGGGGCAGGGCGGGGGTCCAGAGGCACACTGACCTGATGTCCAGCTGGAGAACCCACTGCAGAGTAGAGAAGCACTGGGCCAAACCGAACACAGCGTCCAGGGACAAGCCATTCTCATTGAGGCTGGAGGATCACAGAAGTGACACTGACGGAGGTCACCAGGACTCAAAAACACGCTCTTTGTGGTCAGAGCACAGGGTAGGGGAGGGCTGTCCCTAAGTCCAGACGACGGAACTCACGGAACCCCGGGTGGCCAGAGAGCACCTCTTCCAACTGCCCATGGTACAAACAAGGAAACTGAGGCCCGGAGAGTGCAAGGTCTTGCCCAAGGTTACGAGACATGCCGGTGACAGAGCTGAGATTAGAACTCAGTGGCTCCCTCCTGTGGTGAATCTGGGGAGTGCTTTTGGGCCAAAGTTGTGCCTCAGTTTCCCCACCCGACAAAGGAGAGCTGGTGCCCAGCGAAAAATGAAAATGCAGGGCCTCTTGTTCAAAAAGCAGGAACAGAGATTTTTCTTTCGTAGTCTGTCCATCTGTCACGGTGTTTTCTATGTGCCATTTAATGTCCCACCCTTGGGTGGGACTGGTGGTGAGTACAGACTCTCAAGGGCCCTGGGTCACACCAGGTGTTCACAGTATTAAGAAGGTCACAAGGGAATCTGTCCTGAGAGCTCCAATATGCATATAATTTGCCTGCCATGGTGACGCCCTTCCTCCCCACCCAGGGGCAGGCCCTGAACAGGAACAGAGGCAATCTGCTCTCCTTCCCAGCATCCCAGTGAAAGAGTGTGGGAGCAGGAAGGGCCCTCAGGCCACAGCCCTCATTTCAAGGTTGCAGCCAAAATCACAGGCCACTCCCTGTATACTTTATGTGTTAACTGACGGGAACCAGAGGCTCAGAGAGGTGAAGTAACTTGCCCAAGGTCACAGAGGGAACATAGCACCTGCAACCTCTCTCGAGGGCTCCTTTCACTTTGGCTCAGAAGAGCTGGAGAGGAAGAGGGGAGACGTGGGAGCCAAGAACACAGGGGCTTTCTGGGGCCTAGGAAGTCTGGTCTGCTGCAGGCAAAGTCTGGGGGTTCCTGGACTCCTTCCAGGGCCTCCCCTACTCTCTGCCCGGTGCTCAGGGCTCCCCAGCTTCCCCGGGCACCCTGCTTGCGTGTCCTATCTAGCACAAACCCTCCCTGCCTACCCGGCCTGTGCCCCCTCGAACAGCCCTTCCTTCACCCAGGGCCAGAATGGCTGCCTGACACTACATTAATCAGGGGATACTTCCCAGCCACGCCTGCCCCATGCCAGGCGACCTGGGCCTCCCTGAGAGCCTGTGCAGAGACACAGAGACAAGTTTGAGAAGTGAAACCTTCAATCAGAAGCTGGATCATTGAGCCACAGGGGCCAGACTCTAATGAGAATCATACTACTCACCACCCTTTGCTGAGCACTCATCATGTGTCAGGGACTGAACCAGGAGACTGACATGCATTTTCTGACTTAATCTTTATGATAACCCCAGGAGGGAGTGAGATGGGACACAGACCCCCTTCCCCCCACACCTCCTCATCCTGATGAGGACAAGCCCAGCCGGCTACTCACTTCAAGGACTGCAGAGGGCCCAGCCCCGGGAGCAGCTGAGCCAGCTGGGCTGCACCTTCGTCCCCTAGGGTGTTGCCTGATAAGCTGAGAGGGGCAAGGGGAGAAGGGGTTAGTGCAGGGTGGGGATGCTCCCCACCCTGGTCACTCAATCACTCAGCTTCTCTGGGATCTGGGACACGGCCCTGGGATGCCAGGCCAGATCTCAGCAGATGGCACTGGGTCAGCTGGGGTTTCCCCCAGGGTTCTTATCCTGAGGCTCCTGACCCCTAGGGGGTCAGGGATGGGCTTCAGAGGGTGTCAAGTGTGGAGGATCTGTATTTTAGGGGGAAGAGACACAACTTTCACCAGATTCTCTAAGGGGTTCCTGATTGCAGGAGGGAAGGAACTGCTTATCGAAATCTTGAAAAACAAAACAAAACCCAACACATTGACACACCCTCACTGATGGGCCCCACCCACCCGCCTTCCGACAGCAGCCACTCACTCGAGGTGACCCAGGTGGCAGCTTCCTCCCAGCGCCTTGCAGAGCAGCTCTAGGTGCCTGGCTTGCAAGCCACAGTGCGTCAGCCTGTGGAGGGCAGAACCACAGCCCTGCAGCACCCGCCCGCTGGATGAGGCGAGAGAGGCTGCCACCCCCAGACGCACGGGCAGAAAAGGAGGCTTACAGGAGAGCATTCTGCATCGGGCACCCAGACAGACAGACAAAGAGGGACCAGCACACATAAAATGTCACACAGGCAGGGAAGAGCCAGAGAGAGTCAGAGACACAGAGAGAGAGAGAGAGAGACCAGCATGGAGAGACAGAGAGATGGGAGAGAGATTGAGAGACAGTGCCAGAGGAGGACAGATGACAAGGAGGGAGATTCAGACAGACACAGAGTAAGACAGACGGCCAGAAGGGTACTGAGGGGAGCCCTGCGGGGGCTGAGCTAAGCTTCCAGGCCAAGGCCCCAGGATCGGGAAAGAAGGGGCTGCCCACTCTCCATTCTTTCCATCCAGAGTTCCCACTGCTTGAAGTGGGGGGCTCAGGGGAGTGGGAGCCCCTGGGCTGGGGAAGGTGACAGAGGGGGCTGCCTCATGACCCCTGTCTGGGGTGGGCTGGGCAGGGAAGGTGGGGGGCAGGGAAGCCAAGCCACAACTCCTGGATAGAGCAGGTGGCGTCCTTCGGGGAGCCCCTGGGGCCGGGGGCCTGCAGACAGGCTTTGTGCCGAGGAGGAGAAGAGGCTGGAACCACACCCGAGGCCTGCGGCCATCACGGTACCTGATCTCTTGGGAGCGCAGGGGCAGCTCAGAGGGCGTCTGGGGCACGAGGCTGTCAAGAAACACAGCACTGGAGGGGCACACAGCACGGCCAGGCTGAGCAAACGCCTCGTCCACTGTCTCAAAGACCATCCTCAGCCTCACTTCCCACCACTCAATCTCTATATGAGGCCTGGAGACTGCCAGACCTTGGTTCCAATCGGGCTTCTTGGCTTCCTGGCTGTGTGACCTGGGACACATCACTTAAGCTCTCTCACTGGGAGAGTGTATGTGAATTGCCTGAGTGTGGTGCCTGGTGCACAGTGAGTGCTCAGTCAACCCTGGTGGTTAGTATCATTAATCTCAGGATCATCGTGGTCAGTGCCTTCAGAGATGTCAGCCTCAGCTCCAAGCAAGACTTCAATAGCTCGGAGCCTACAGAAGAGGTTGTAGGTAGACACTGAGGGGCAAAGAGCTGAGTCCCTGCCTGTGTGCCAGGCTGGGGCAATCCGGGAAGGAACGCTGGAGGAGGCAGACACACTTTAAAGGGTCCTCGTGCCAAAGGGAGTCAGAAGGTCTGACCAAAAACAGAGCTACAGGCCAGGCGGTCCTCTGCGTTTAGGCTGAAGGGCCGCGGTCTCTGGATGCCCAACTCCCGCCCGACTGTGCCGCCTGCACCCCGCATCATAGGCCTCGCTTCGGGTACCACTTGGGAAATGGGGAGGCCTGGCCTTTGACCCTCTCCTTCAAGGCTGCGTCCCTTGCCAAGCCTGCGGGCTTCGCGCGCCTTCTTGATTTGTCAAGGTCGCCTGGAAGTTGAGTGGCACTGTCCAGTTGAGGAGGTCAGGGAGGGGGTGGCCCTGGCGGCGTGGGGGCCCTACCTCTTGTGCATCCCCGCCTGCTCCTCCGGCTCTGAGGCAAACGTGAGGACCACAGTTTTGCGCAGGAGGCTGCAGAGAGAGAGGAGGGAGGAGACAAGAGGTTTATGGGATCCCTGATGCTCTGTGTCATTGTTTAGCCTGGCCCAGAGGGATGTGTGAGGTGCCACCCCCCTGCCTCCAGCTGCAGCCACTTCCTCTGACTCTGCCCTGACTTATCAGCTTCCGGGCCTGAAGTCTTTCTATCACAGAGATTTCACAAACTTCTCAGCCCTCATTTCCTGGCAAGTCTTTGAAACAAAACAGTTCTGCCTTCTCTCTGGTTGGGGCCTCAGGCTGAAACCCTCCTCCTCTGCCTGTGGGTGTTTCTCCTGTGCTCGGGGCACCCTCAGCTGAGGGTGCTCATCCCAGCGGAGTGAGGCCACTACCAGGTGGGGACAGGCACTGCGAATCTACATGAGGCTGTAATGTATAGCCGTATAGCCAGAGCATCCCTAACCTCGCCTTTGCAAACTGAATGTTATATATATATTTCTCATTACAAAAATCACATTTCTTCCCTGTGGTAAACTTAGAAAAGACAGCAAAGTACGAAGAAAATAAAGAAAAATCACCCACAACCTCCTCCACACGTCAATTACCACTGATACATTTTGGAGTGGGGCCTTCAAACCTTTGGTTTTTTTAATGTAGTTAATGTTCTTTCTTTCTTTTTTTCCCTTAAAAAATGGGATCAAAATTACAGGTTCTCTTTTATTTTTTTATTTATTTTTATTTTTATTATTTTTTTTTTTTGTGAGGAAGATCAGCCCTGAGCTAACATCCATGCTAATCCTCCTCTTTTTGCTGAGGAAGACCGGCTCTGAGCTAACATCTATTGCCAATCTTCCTCCTTTTTCCCCCTAAAGCCCCAGTAGGTAGTTGTATGTCATAGCTGCACATCCTTCTAGTTGCTGTATGTGGGACGCGGCCTCAGTGTGGCCGGAGAAGCAGTGCCTCAGTGCGCGCCCGGGATCCGAACCCGGGCCGCCAGTAGCGGAGCGCGCGCACTTAACCGCTAAGCCACGGGGCCAGCCCTCAGATTCTCTTTTAAAAATTAGTTTTTCAAGGGACAGATGAAGCAAGGGTAACAAAATGTGCATAATTATTGATAATTGATAATTATTGGTGGGAACTGGGGTGTTCGTTTTACCATTCTCCCTATCATTGAGTACGATGGAAAAGCTTTATTATAAAAACGATGAAATAAAATTTTTAGGTTTGCTTAATATACACAGTCATCCTTGAATCCTAAAGCTGCAGCTGTATCGTGGTTCCATCGAGTCTTCTCTCTGGAGGCAACCTGATTTATTTAACTAATATTGTATTAAACATTTAAGTTTTTTCCATTTGTTTCTTGTTATACCCAATACTGAGGTGAACATCCCTGAGGCTAACTGTGGTCGCACAATCGTGCTGATTTCTTTAGTATAAATTCCTAGAAGTGAACGGAGTGTCATCCGGAACACCCTGGGACCCTTTATTGAATCACTATATGCAGCACACAAAGGTCCCCTAGTCTACCTCTCGGGCGAATCTGGTCTCTCTTTCCTCCTTTGAGGGTGTTTAAAGCGGGGACCACCCTACTCAGCTGAGAGCCCCTCTGGGTGGGGACCGTATTGACATTAATTAGCATCTGTCCTCAGCTCCCTGGACTGAATACCGAGACTTAGAGAAGTAAGGGTGGGCCCTCTCTTAGGTCGTGTCCCTAGAAGCAGAGCCTGGGGCTGTGAGTGGGGTAGGGGTCACGTGTCACTGGGTCCCTGGTGCATGTGATGTATTGAGGGGTGCTCTCAGGAGAGACGGGTGAGGGACCAGGGAAGCAGAACGGGGCAGGTCCTCAGCCTGATCCCATAGGAAGCTTTGGAGTGTGAATGGCACCAAAAGTTTGTCCTACCTGAGGCAAGGGGCCCGGAGAGTTATACCTCTGCCTGGGTCACTGCCACTCCTGGCTGGGGGGACAGGGAGGGGTGTAACCTTCCGGGCATGCTCTCTGAGCCCGGGGCAACGGAAGAAGCTGTGAGGGGCCAACACCCGCCCCAGCTGGAATAGACGCAGCAGCTGGACTAGGGGTCTGGGTGGGGCACCACCAGCATCTCCCACAGTCCTGAAGGCCTGGGGCCAGAAAGAATTCCAAGGACTTTGAGTTCCCACCTGATGTGTAGCTCTGTCAGGGTCCGGCATGTGCTCACTGCACTCAGCACTTGGTGCAGCCCATCCACAGAGAGCCCATTGTCACTGAGGCTGTGGAAAGGACGAGAGAGGCAGCCATCAGCAGGCGGCTGAAGCCCCAGACAGCTCCAGCCCCTCCTCCTGGCTCAGCAGCCTGCTGGCTGTCACTCTTGGGAAGTCCTGGGTCCTTGATCCTCAAAGGACTCTGACTCATGTGGATGAGCCAAGAGATGCATGGCCCCCTGCCCCACTCGGAGAATCAAGTTCTCCAGCCGGAGCGATAGGAACTGGCGACTCACTGTTTCCGCCTCTCTGAGCCTCAGTCTCCCGGTAAAATAACCACCATTTTAATCCCATATTACAAATGGGGAAACTGAGGCCCAGAGACATTAAATTACTTTCCCAAGGTCACAAACCTACTAAGTGACAGAGCCAGGATTTAAATCCAAAGCCAAGGCTCCGAAGCACTGTTACCCAACCTCAACACTTCCCCACCCCAACCCACACTTGATGCTCAGACCCAACACACCCCACCCAAACACCAGCCCTACCCCATATCAGGCAACACTGCTGCACACCCAACAGCCTACTACCCTTTCTTACTATGCCACTGCCCCGACAACCCACCCCTTCACCCCAACACTGTACCCCACCCCAACACACCACTTCCCACCCCAAAATCCCAATCCAACACCCCAGCACCCATCCACCCGATACCCTAATGCTCCCGCAGTGTAACTACCCACCCTACCCCACCCAGGGCTGTTGTAAGGACAAACTGGAACACATGCTACATGTGCCAGGGGTTTTAATAATTGGAGCTAAGTGGCTCATGCCAGAGGCAAAGGCAAAGCATGGTCTAACCACTTCAACTTCGCTGGCATTGAGAGAAAATAGGGGTGGTCGGGAGAGCAGCACTATTTCTGGTGACTGTGGGCATGGCGACCAGGGGTGGCAGGCACCAGGGGTGGCAGGGACCAGGGGTGGCAGGGACCAGCTGGGGCTCTCCAAGGCCCTCCCTGCTACCCAACAGAGGGGTGGGCAACTCACTCCAGCTTCCCGGTGATGCGCAGCTGGGGTGCAGCCTCTGCCATCAGCCGACAGCCTTCGTCTTCTAGCTGGTTCCCTGAGAGGCTGAGACAGAGAAGCCCGATGCCCTCTGCTGCTAGGGTGGGGTCCCCCTCAACCTCAGCCCTCACGCAGTCCCTCACAGTGTTTAGTCAAAGCATCACTCCAATAAATGAACCTTAATAATGACGACGAACGTTGAAAGACTGCGTCCTACATGCCTGGCACTGTCCTAGGCGCTTCCACAATTATTGGATATTTAATCCTCATACCGACCCTACGAAGCAGGCACTATTATTGCCCTCCTCTTACTGATGAGTCAACAGAGGTGCAGAGGGGTTAAAACACTTGAGCAAAGGAGGACCTGGGATTTGAACCCAGGCAGCCTGACTTCAAGGCCCCACCATCAAACATTTCTTTATGCTGCAACCTACATAATTGCTTCTTGTGATAAACTCCAGGATTATAGGGGCGTCTGATCTGGTCTGGGGGTCAAGGAAGGCTTCCCTAATGTTTGAGCTACTTGTGGAAACACTAGGAGTTCAACAGGTAAGGGGTGTGAAAGAGAAGGGGGAAGGGTGTTCCTGACAGTAGGAACAGCACAGTCAAAGGCCCTGTGGCACAGCACATTCGAGGACCTGAAGGGGTCCAGTATGTCTGGATCAAAGATTGAGTGGGAGGACAGGGTCAGATGGGGCTTTCGGGCTTGGGGCAGGGTTCTGGATCACACAGGATGTTAGAATTTGGGATTTATCTTGAGCAGTGGGAAGGAGTGAAGGGGGCAGGCAACAGTGAAATGCAGTTCACTCTCTGCCAGGGGGAGGTGGCCAGGGTAGAAGCAGGGGACCCAGTGAGGAGGCTGATGGGGTCATTCAAGTGAGAGATGAGAATGGTTTGGACTAGGGAGTTGGAAGAAAAGAGGAAGGAGAAAAGAGGATGGTTTTGAGAGCTGTGTAGGGGGTTTTGAGAGCTATCAGGATGGACTGGCTATGGGGGGAGGGCAACGGAGCTGAGAGGCATCTGGTCGGTGTAACCAGGTGGGTGATGGGGTTTAGTTCAGGTAGAGCACTGGGGGAGGGGCAGGCTTGGTGGTGGCGAGGTAGGTGGAAGTATGTGAGTTTGGTAAAAACCACCTTCTAATCCTGTCTTGGTTCTCCCAATGGGACAAGGTCAAACTCAAGGTCAAGGCAGGCCATCGCACCCTGGAGGGGGCCACTCACCTTAACCACACCACGGCACTTCCTCACTCCACTTTCATGCTCTTTTGATTTCCTGGGGTGGTCCTGGCAGGGGCCCCCTCCTGGTGACATGACAGGACCTCCACCAATCCCCAAGCCCTACTCTCAAGGCTCCGCCCAGGAGCTGGGCATCATGGCAATTTCTCTAGCCCGAAAAGAGAAGGGCACCTCACTCTATTCTGGGAGGAAGATGGAGGGTAACGGGACCCTGAGGGCTGTGGTTTGGAAGACGGACTTGGGTGTGGTGGGGTTTCTGCTTTGCAGATCTCAAAGACAGTGGTTATGAGGATGAGGCTGGGAGTCAGCCTGTCTGAGCTTGAACCCTGGCCTGGTCTCTTCCTAGCTGTGTGACCTCGAGCAAACTTACCTTTCTGTGGCTTAATTTCCTCCTCTATAAAATGTGCATAGTAACAGCACTTACATCATAGAGACGTGAGGACTGAATGATGGGATGTGTGTATATGCACCTGGTACAGGGCGAGTGCTAAATAGTGGTAGCTTTTACAATGATCTGATTCCCCCAAATTCTCAATGAGGCAGCATGCCCTTCCTGCGCTGCCCTGCCCTCCCCTCCTGTCTCCTGCCCCAGCAGTTCCCATGATACTCACTCCACTTCATCCAGGTGGGGGCATTTCTGGAGCTGGGCTATGAGCATCTCCACCTCATGGACCCCGAGCTGACACTCCTGGAGCCTGGGGTGGGGGGTGGGGACAGAGAGGCTCAAGGCAAGAAGCTACACCATGCCTCCTCTAGCTCCAAGTGCCACTGCCAGGTATGGGAGCTGGAGGAGCCAGGAGGCTGACAGACCTGAGGTCTAATCCTGGCCCCACTTCTCAGTAGCTGGGCCATATTGGGCAAGGCACTTAACCTATCTGAGACTCAGTTTTCTCTTCTGTCAAATGGGAATAAATGTGTACTTCACACGGCTTTCAAAAGAATTACAACAAGGTAATGGGTTATAAAATACCAGAGTGCCCAGCATTCAGCAAGCGCCCATTAAATTGTAGCTGTTATTGTTGTTGTTATGACAGATGTTCCTTGTTAAGGCCAGGATGGGTTATTCACCTCCTTTCCCTGCCCCATGTCTGCTTTTCCCTTTATCCTCCCTGCCCCTGCTATGCCTCCCTTGGAAAGGGAACCCCCCCCCCATATTGTAGCCCTCCCCTTCAAGCAATGGATCCCACTGAGGTACCTGAGTGCCAGGCTTCTGCTCGGAGCCTCTTTCCTCTGACCAGCACTTTCCTGCAGCTCTGGGGCTCTGGGAAGAACAAATCCAACATTGGCCTGGCCTCAGGAGTCCAGGGCCTGATGGACCAAACCTCTTCCCTTGCCTTCTAGGGGCTGAAGACCCTGGAGCATGACCCACAGTGAATGATTAACAAAGATGGTTGCTTGAAGGTGCTGAGGGTGCTATTCAGCAAAGCGGCAGGAGCAAAAGGTTTAAGGTTAAACGGAACCTTTATTCAAATTCTGGCTCTGCCATATACAGCCTTCGGCAAGTCACTTCACCCATCTGAGCTGCCATTTTCTCCTTTCTACCATGAGATGACAATATCTAACATCTAGAGCGGCTGAAAGATTGAACCGGATGATGTACGGTCAAGTGCTCAGCATAGGCACAAAACTGAAACTTAGTAAAAATAGGCTGCTACTGTCTAAGATGTGATGGTCTCCATCTGTAGATGTGGCATCTGTGGTTCAGAAGGCCAGGAGCCTGGACTGCACATGGGTCCAGGCTGTGGGAAGCCATGGTACCTCCAGGCCCTCTTCCACGGGGCCAGGGAAGCTGAGACATTACAAACCAGGTTTCCACAGACTTCTAGATCAGTGCTATCCAACAGAACTTAATGCAATGATGGAAATATTTTCTATCTATGCCATCCACTTTGGTAACCACTAGCTACCCATGGCCATTGAGCACCTGAAATGTGGCTAATGTGACCGAAGAACTGAAATGTTCATTTTACTTAATTTTAACTAACATAAATTTAAATAGCCACACGTGGCTTGTGGCTACCATATGGGGCATTGCAGCTCTAGACAGTCAGAGGAAGAAAAGACATTGGTCCCACAGGATCATCGTACAGGTGAAGAAACTGAGGCTCAGAGCAGGGAAAGGACTTGCTCAAGGGCATACAACCTCCTCTGTCTCTGGGCCTCAGCCAGGGACGGGTGTGGAGAAGCACAGCTAGAATATTCTTTCATGGGAAGGCAGCTTCCCTTTCTTTGCCCACCCAGGACTGTCCGAGCTGGAATTCATGCACAGCTGGAATAGCCAGGATTTGAGCGCCAACTGGAGGCCAGCAGTGTTCTAAGCACTTTAAATGTATTAATTCATTTAATTCTCAGAACAACTCTAAGATGTAGGTGCCATAATTGCCTTCCCCTTTGCTTAGTTGGAAGACTTTTCCCTGCATGCTAATGCCAATATTACAGTATCTTCATGCCCTCCCTAAGGGTCTGACTCACTCTGAAACTCCTAGGGACGTTCCCTCACCACAGGAGCCACACATGGTCCAGAGACGCTAGAGGAAGCTAAAGTCTTTTGCCAACCCTGAGAAGTAAGTCATTTCTCAGGGCAGCAGTAGCAAGAAGAATCCCCACATTCCAGCTCTTTCTAAGCTCTCCTGGCCACCTTTCCCCACAACTGCCAGAGGCCAGATCACTTCTCAGGATGAGCCCAGATCCACCCCTGCCCTCGCTTCTTACCCTGGTAGCTCTGCAGCTGTCTCTGTGGGCGAGGAGAGAAGAAAGATGAGCTCTGCCTTCCTGTAGGGTCAGACATCGAGCCATGAAAACCGCGGACGGGAAACCAGCACATCACCTCTTACCTGTGCACCCCTGGCTGCCCCAAACATCCAGAGAAAGCTGACTGTGTAATTGACAGAGAAACAACAGAACTGGCAAAAGTGCTCCAAATCAGACATGTCCAAAACCGTGATTATGTCATTGCTTGATGAATCCTCAGTGTTTTGAAAAGTCACAAAAACAATTTTTACAAGGAAGATAATAAAAATTAGGAACTCTGAGAGTTTTCACAGAAGTCACAGAATTTTAGGGTCAAGAGGCACGGCACTTAACCAACCCTGGGATCCAAACAAGCAACGCAGTTCAGCACCCTGGAGAGCGACACGTGGCTAATTATTCCTCCCGCTCTGCTTATCCTGCCTGGATTTGTTGATTCATTCCCTCATCTACCCATCTGTCCCTCCACCCCCATCTTTCTGTTCATTCACTATTTCTTGAGTACCAGGTGCCAGGCCTGAGCTAGGCTCTGGAGATACCGATGTGAGTAAAACAGACTCAGGCATGCACACGCGGGTCTTACAGACGAGGGGCCTTCCTTTTCCATGCTCCACTCTCCCCTCCTCTTTTCTTAAGACCCTGAAGACCAGGCTTCCACCTCTTCTACTCACCCGACCTGCAGCGTCCTGACGGTAGGGCACATGACTGCCACCTCTGTCAAGCGGAGTAGGGTCCACACAGAGACATTGTTGCGGCTCAGGCTGGGTGATTGTGGCAAAGGGGCCAGGAGTGAGTCCACTATCCCACGGGCCCCAGACCTGTACTTTCCAAGGGAGGAGGGTGACTCGGGCAGGGCTGGTGGAAAGACCGCTTACTCAAGCTTCCGGAGCCGCGGCAGGCGAGGGAGTATCTTCACGATGTTCAGCACGTCTCGGTCCTTGAGCTGGTTGTCCTGAAAGCTGCAGGGAGATTGAGGCCGAGTCCCTTAGCCCTGGGGATGGGGTGCTTGGAAGACCCAGTTGGAAGGTGACAGGACACCCTCATGTGGGAAACACAAGACAAGAGCCCAGAACAAGTTGGTGACCTGCTCCACAGTATCTGGCAGGCCCAGCTAGGAGGAAAAGCCCTCTTCTGGACTCATTTCTGTCTCTATTAAGTCTCTATGGGGGAGTTGCTGCCTGTATCCGTGACCCCATGGATCCAGATGATGGCCTGTGAAGGCCTCATGAGGCGGGATGAGGAGACCCAGCAGCCTGCTCTCAAGGCAATGTCTGGAATGTGCCTGAGGCTCCCAGGTGAGGAGCAGAGTCTAGAACGGGATGCAGGAGATGCCACTTCTAGCCTCAGCTCTGGCCCTGACTTATGCAGAGGCCTAGGGCAAGCACATTCCTTTCTGACCTCACATTCCCCACCTGTCAAATGGGGTCCACAACCCAGCATTGCCAGGGTTCCTAGCTGGAGGGACAGAAGAACTGAAGGGTGTGAGGGTGCCTTTGTGTGTGATCACTCTGGTCAGGCCAAAGGTTTGGAAATATTGAACTTGATATTTACTTTTCTTTCCTGATTATTAAGAGTGAACTTAATCTTTTCTCCCGTCACCCAGAGTGGGGACAGAGCAGAGCTGTGGTCCAGCTAATGCTCTGCTCAACAAGTGGTGCACCCTGGTGCTGGGCTGCATCTGCCTGGATGAAGGGGTGCCTTTTCTAAGTTTCATAAAGATGCCATATAAGCTAGCAGCGGTTCTGCCAGTGATCTGCTAAAGAGGCTCCCACCCTTCTCCGGCCACTCATCACAGACACAGGGCAGTATATTTGTGCATATGTGTTTAGATGTGTATGTGGATCTAAATGTGCATGTATGTGTGTGCTGCATGTGTGCACACCTGGGAACGTGCATGTATGTGGGGCATATACTTAAGTGAGCAGGCGAGTGCAAGTGTTTATACATATGTGCACAAATGTGAAGGTATGTGTGTTTCATGCATTTATGTGTACCCACAGTGCCTGACACCTGCCTACACACTGCCATCCCTTCTCTCAGGGTCACAGACAGAGGGGAGGGGGCCTCAAAACTCAAACTCCTTCAAGATGCTCCAAAATATCAGCTGAGAGAAGCACTGCTCTGGGGTCTTTGGGAGCCTTGCGTTCGGATCCAGCCTGACCCAGTTCTTGGACTGATGCCTCCCCTCTCTGGGTCTCATTGAAAAACTACTGATGGAAAATGCATAGTGGGGCCCCCGGGAACTGGGCAATGACTCTCACCCCTGGCCAGTGCACTCTCCTGGAGATCACTCACCTGACCTCTTCCAGCTGTGGACAGAGGGGCAAAGCCTTCACCAGGTGGCTGATGCCTCGGGCAGTGATCTTACTTCCTGCTAACCTACAGGGTAAGCAAAGACAGTGGAGACGGATGGGGAAGGGAAAGGGGGTAAGCCAGGAATCTGCCCTGTGTAGGGTTGAGGTGGGGAGGAGACGTCCAGGCATCCCAGGCTGAGGATCCCTCTCAGTCCCAAGCCCTGGCTCACCCCAGGTTCTTCAGGCTCTCCATTGTTGGCAGGCTCCTGGAGAGGGCTTCTGCAAAGGCGTCCCCACACTTCCTGCTCTTAAAGCTGCCACAGGAAGGGGCAAGGTGGCAAAGGATCAACGCTGGGCAGGGCTTGGAGGTCGTCACCCACCCCCTCCTCGGACAGATGGAACTTAGTACAGTAATGTTAATAGTAGTAGTAGTAATTGTTGTTGTTATTGTTGTAGTAGTAACAAATACATGTTACGCCAGAGACTGCTAATTGTCCACGAAACCCACTCTCTACTTACAGAGCTAAAACTGGGAACATGGTTTCCCAGCCAGAGATGGCATTTCCCAGCCTCCCTTGCAGCTCAGTGAAGCCACATGACTGTGTTCTCACCACTAGAATGTTCTCATCACCGGAACGAGTGGAAGCCATGTGCTCTATCTCCAGGACTGAGCTTAACACATCGGGCGTGTCTAACCCATGCTGTCTCTTTCTGTTCTCCGGGGACAGAGCACAGATACACCCATGACCCAGCTCTGATGATGCAAATCAAGATGCCCAAGGAGATGATGGGGCAACAGTGGAAGGGACCTGGGTCCCTGCATGACCACATGGAGCTGAGCCATCCCACTGACTTGGACCACTTACCTCTGAGTCTTCCACGAGAGTGAAATGAAATTGTACATTATTTAATCCACTGTAGTGGGGGGACAGGGCTTTACTACACCTAGGCTTTTCTCTAGCTGTTCCACATATTAAGCCTTTACTGTGCGCCAGGAACTCTGCTAAGAAGTGTTTCTCACGCGTTATCTCGGCTTATTCTCACAACAACCCTATGAAGTAGGTATTATTACTGATTCACTTTAGGGATGAAGACACTCAGGCTGAGAGGTTAAATAACCTGCCCAAAGTCAAACAGCCTCTAGCAGCACAGCCTGGATCAGAGGCTCTGGCGCATGACTGCGAGAGGGAGAATGAGCATCTGGAAACCACGACAAGAGGAGATCCAACTGGAGCCCAGAGGTCCTGGTGAGGCGTGAAGCTTCCTCACTGTGTGCTAAAGGGCAGGAAGGGCCCCTCTGTTCTGATATTCAAGATTCTTACCTCGTCTCCCTCAGCAGGGGTCTGCCAGACTGGTTGGCCTCCCCGCTCCCAGAAGCCCAGTTCCCTCCCAGGTCCTCCCTGGTCCTCCCCTGCCCTTGCTCTCACCTGAGATTCTCTACCTGCCCACAGCCTGCCAGAGCCTCAGGGCAGCAGGGCTCCAGGGGGCAGCCCTCAAAATTTAGGTGGATGGGAGCATTTCTGTGCCCCAGGATGTTGGTCAGGGCAGCCAGGTCGGCGTGGGTCAGCGGGAAATTGTGGAAGGGCAGTTGACACGGGAGACTTCGGGCCATGAGGCCGGCCAGCTCAGGCTCCTGTGTCTCACTCACACAGTGACACAGCTCTACAACCTTTGGCCCCGTGAGCCTGCGGGTGGCCAACTTCCTCAATGCCTGCACGACTGCAGCCTGCTTGGCGCCTACCCACACCTCATCCTGCTGTGCCAGGTGGCTGAGGAAGCGACGGCAGGCACTGGATGCCAGACCCGCCAGGAAGCTGGGAAGATGGTCTAAGAGGCCCAGTCTAGCTTTGGTCCGCAACACCCAGCGAGAATTGAGGGTGACGTGGCGGGTGAGCGCGTCTTTGTCCACCTCAGGGCTGGCCATCAGGTGCAGGGCAGCAAAAAACTCCTGCAGGCTGAGATGGAGGAAGGCATAGCCTGTCTCCTGGTGCCCAGGGCCTGTGCAGATGCAGAAGGAGGTCAGCAGGCCGAGGGCAGCCCCAAAGGCCATCGTGGGTGGAGGGATGTCTCCTGCAGAGAAGATAACCTTCCCAGTCTCCAGGCCCCTCAGCGCCACCTCACAGAGGCCCATCAGGGACTTGGCAGACAGGTACACATGGGGGCCGAGGGCGTGCACCATCTGCACGTAGGTCTGAGTCACAGTGGGCAGGAGGGCTGCAGACTGGCCTGGGGAGCTGCCCGGGAGCAGGTGGTGGAGGCAGATGCAGGCGACACGGCACAGCGCAGGCACCGCACACAAGCTCCGCAGATGTCCATCTGCCCGCAGCTCTGCCAGCGCTGCCTCCTGCGATGGCCGGTCGCTGAAGAAGCGGCCCACGTACTCTTCCACCCGTGGCCCGTCAAAGCCCCACATGTGGACTGTGGCTGCCTCCGTGGGCAGGCAGGCGGGCAGCTTCCCTGGACGGGAGGTGGCCATTACCCAGCAGCCAGGCAGGAGGGTCCCACGGCAGAGGTTGGAGAAGAGGGCGAGGGCTGGGCCTAGGGCCTCAGAGTCTGCAGTCTCCCTGCTGGAACAGGGTTGGAAGGCCTCGTCCAGCCCATCGAAGATCAGTAGGACTCCATCAGCATTCTCCTCCAGGTACTGGAAGACAGCCTCGGGGCCCGCCTCGGGGCTGAGGTACAGATCAAAAAGGAGCTGGGGCAGCGTCAGGACACTGGTGATGAGGTTGAGCTGGCGGAACTCAAAAAGGAACAAGGCCTGGAAGCGGTCCAGCTGGCCGTCAGCCCACTTCTGGCGGAGCCAGTGGGCCAGTGTGGTCTTGCCCATGCCCGCCTTCCCCAGGAGTACCCTCACCCTGGGACCCTTGTCAGCCCTGGTGTTGAAGAGGTCCCGGATGCTCACGTCGGTGCCATCTTCTGTCTTGGGGTCCCCCATAAGGGCCCCCTCCTGAGTGTTGAAGGGCGCTGTGGCTCGGTGCCACTGCAGGATTGGGGGGATGTAGGCCTGCTGGAAGGCAAGGGGCTGCCCTGGCCCCGGGATCCTGCCGCTATAGCGCTGCTGGGCAGACGTCCTCAACAGCTTCAGGTACCTCTTGGCCAGCTCTGCAGGGGGCAGGGAGATGGCATGAGGGCAGCAGGCCTCCCCGTCCCCTGATCTCCTCACCCCAGTATCAGCTGTTGGGAGCCTGTAGCCTCACCTGTGTATGTATGGGGCGGGGGCTGGGCGAGGGTGTTGGCAAGAGCACACAGGGGCTCTTCTGTCACCCAGATTCCTAGAAGTAACTGGTTCTACAGAAGCACGGGTTCTGGCAGCCATTTAAACAGAGAAGTATGAATGGATCACGGCTCTCCTCGTCTTGCAACAACTGAACTAGTATCAAGGTTTCAATGTGACGGGGGAGGGGAAAGGGGTCACTTCCTTTGCAACATCTTTTTTATTTTTAATTTTTTATTGATGTCATAGTAGTTTATAACATTGTGAGATTTCAGTTGTACATTATTATTTGTCAGTCACCATATAAATGCGCCCCTTCACTCCTTGTGCCCATCTCCCAACTCCCTTCCCCCTGGTAACCACCAAACTGTTCTCTCTGTCCATGTGTTAGTTTATCTTCCACATATCAGTGAAGTCATACGGTGTTTGTCTTTCTCTGGCTTATTTCGGTTAACATAATACCCTCTAGGACCATCCATGTTGTCCTTTGCAACATCTTATTGGAACAACCTCTTACCGTGCTATCTGAGTGACCTGTGCCCCTCCCCAATATTTCAGTTCTGCAGTGCCCAGGGGTGAGTCCTAACAGCCTGTAGGCTCAGACACTGACCAATCAGAAATGTGGGAGCTGGGCCCCTACAGTGCCAGGTATTGACTTTAATTGCTGGGTCATTGGCAGATGCTGGGTGGCCCAGGGGAAGGACTGGGGCCACTGTTGGGGGACACTGGGAGCCCCCGCTGGGGAGCCTGAGGTAGTGGCCTACTTTATATAGATGTGAATCCTGGGAGCATCTGTGGGTCCTCTGGCTATGCCCACGGGAGTTGGGTTTCCCAGCTGGTAGGACAAATGGTTGAGGACAAAGGCTCTTCTGGACAACTGGTGGCGAATGAGAGAAGTTCTATGTCCTCTACTCCCCCTGGCCTGGCCGGTCCTCAGCAGCCCCTATGCCTCTCCCTGAGCCCCTAGGGCTTCTGCCTTGAGGTGTTCTCCCTGGTGTCCTGCTCACCCCTAAACTGGCCAATGAGGGCCCAGGCCTGAAGGCATGCTGGTCACCTCCCTGGGGCTCCCTCAACCCTGAAGACATGGGGGTGTCCCTGGAAGAGTCTGGATGAGGAAGCTGTGTGACCTGTTGGGATGCTTCAAGTTCCTCAGCTGAGCCATCTCTGGAGAGGCCCTCTTGTAGCCTCTTAGGGGAGGCTCTTCCCTGCTAGACCTTTCTGTCCACCCGGGACCTCCAATCCTTCTCTCCCGGAAGCTTGCAAGACAAGAGTCACTGAGACCCTGGAGGCTTGTCAGCAAGGGACAGAGTTCAGGATCTGTGCCCTGGCACTAAGGCAATCCAATCTCTATGTTTGGGTCCCTCCCCACCTTGGTACCCACCTAGCTGCTGCTTCCTGGACTGCTTTGGGCGGGGTGAGGACCCACAGCTCTGAAGAGGCCGCTTGACGCCTGGAAAGAATGAAAGAAAGAGTAAAGGGTGAGGTTGGTGCGCCTGGGCTGAGAGGGTACGCAGTACCTTTCCACTGGAGCTCCATGGGATCCCCATTCCACACTCGAGCAGCAGGCAAAGTGTATCCACACCCAGGGACGGAGAGAAGGCAGGCAGTGGGCAAAGGCTGCATTAACACCAGCTTCTGTTTGCAGCGGGAGTCCCGGGGCCTGGTGAGAGGGCTGGAGGCTCTGGGCCTGGGGATCTCCCAGTCTAAGGTGCAGGGAGAAGGGCACACAGCCAGCAGCCTCAGACACACTTAGCCCCAAGCACCAAATGGCTTGGGAAGGACCCAGCTCTGTGGAGGCCATGCTGGTTGGAAAAGTGGAGCTCCAACAGGCTTGGCCAGGCCGTGCCCACCCCCAGTGCCTGTGTGCTTTACCACTCCTATTTCACACCTTCATCACTGCCTCACTTCCCCAAATGGCCGCATGAGTTCTTCTCTGGTGGCATGGGTTTTCAAGAGTCACTTTAATGCCTTTCTGAAGATGTTGGGACAGCAAGAAAGAAAACAAGAAGGAAGGGGAGAGAGAGAGAGGAGGGGAGGAAGAGAGGAAAGAGGACTTAGGGGAGGAGTTTAAGAAGTAAAGCAGGATGCTCCTACAGCCAGGAGCCAGCGACCAACCAGAACAGCCCCTGGAGCAGGCCCCTTGCCCCGCCAGTTAACTTTTTAGCTGCTGGATTGCAAGGAGACCCAGGAGTCCCAAAGAGGGAGTGGAACTAGTTTGAGAGTATTTCAATAATTTAACAAGCCCTCTATTGATAAGGGACTCACTCAGGCCTGCTCACAGCCATGTGACTATTATGCCAGCCCAGTGATAAGGGTCAGAAGGGACCAGGGACCAGGACAAATAGGTCTGATTGTGGGGAGCTGGGATTATGGGGTGGATGTTTTCTGTTAAAGCATGTCGATGTTATGCCACGCGCAGCTATAACTAAAAAGTCTACACTTCTATAGAAATAGAGGTCCTGAACCCACAGCAAACATCATACTCAATGGTGAAAGACTGAACGTTTTTCCTCTAAGATCAGGAACAAGGCAAGGACGTTTATTTTCGCCACTTCTATTCAACATAGGACTGGAAGGCCTAGCCAGAGCAATTAGGCAAGAAAAAGAAATTAAAGGCATCCAAATTGGAAAGGAAGAACTAAAATTATTTCTGTTTGCAGATAATAGGGTCTTATATGTAGACAACCTAAAAACTCTACAAAAAAACTTTTTAGAACAAATAAACGAATTCAGCAAAGTAGCAAGATACAAAGTCAACACACAAAAATCAGCTGCATTTTCATACACTAACAATGAACATTCTGAAAAGGAATACAAAAACGATTTCATTTATGACAGCATCAAAAAGAAAAAAAATACTTAGGAATTAACTTAACCAAAGGAGGTGAAAGACTTGTACAATGAAAACTACAAAACGCTGCTGACAGAAATTAAAGACGACATAAATAAATGGAAACACACCCCATGTTCATGGATTGGAAGACTTAATATTGTTAAGATGTCAATAGTACCCAAAGCAATCTACAATTTCAATGCAACCTCTATCAAAATCCCAATGATACTTTTCGCAGAAACAGAAAAACCCATCCTAAAATTCATATGGAATCTCAAGGGACCCCAAATAGCCAAAACACTCTTGAAACAGAAGAAAAAAGCTTGAGCCCTCACACGTCCTGATTTCAAAACTTAAAGCTACAGTAATCAAAACAGTGTGGTATTGGCATAAAGACAGACATAGAGACCAGTGGAACAGAAGAAAAACCCTAGAAATAAACCCTCATATACAGTCAAATGATTTTTGACAGCAGTGCCAAGACCATTCAATAGGGAAAGCACAGTCTTCAACAATTGGGGGGTGGGGGGCGGGGAGAGAAACTGGATATCCACACGAAAAAGAATCAAGCTGGACCCTTACCTAACACCATATACAAAAACTTAACTCAAAATGAAGCAAGACCTAAATGTAAGACCTAAAACAATAAAACTCTTAAAAGAAAACATAGAATGAAAGCTCATGACATGGGATTTGGCAATGACTTCTTGGAGATGACACCAAAGGCACAGACAATGAAAGACTAAATAGACAAATTGGACCTCGTGCAAGTTAAAAAATTTGTACAACAAAAGACACTATCCATAGAGTAAAAAGGCAACCCACAGAAGGGGAGAAAATATTTGCAAAACATATACCTGATAAAGAATTAATATCCAGAACATAGAGAGAACTCCTAAAACTCAACAATAAAAAACCAAGCTGATTCAAAGATGGGCAAAGGGCTTGAAGAGACATTTCTCTAAAGAAGATATACAAATGGCCAATAAGCACACGAAAAGATGCTCAACATCACTAATCATTAGGGAAATGCCAATCAAAACTACAATGAGATACCGCCTCACACCCATTAGCATGGCTACTATCAAACAAACAGAAAACAACAAGTGTTGGCGAGGATGTGGAGAAATTGGAACCCTGTGCACTGTTGGTGGGAATGTAAATGGTACAGCTGCTGTGGAAAACAGTATGGAGGTGCCTCAAAAAATTAAAAATAGAATTACCATATGACCCTGGATTCTAGATATATACTCAAAAGAATTGAACGCAGGGTCTTGAAGATATATTTGTTCATCCATCTTCACAGCAGCTATATTCACAATAGCCAAAACATGGAAGCAATCCAAGTGTCCATCAATGGATGAATGGGTAAGCAAAATGCAGGATATACATACAACAGAATATATTCAGCCTTAAAAAGGAAGGAAATTCTGACACATGCTCATAGGTGAACTTTGAGGCCATTATGCTAAGTGAAGTAAGCCAGTCACAAAATGATTCTACTTATATGAAGTACCTAGAGTAGTCAAAATCATAAACACAGAAAGTAGAATGGTGGTTACCAGCAGCTGAGGGGATGGAGAATGGGGAGTTAATATTTAACAGGTATAGAGTTTCAGTTTTACAAGACGAAACGAGTTATGGAGGTGGGTGGTGGTGATGGTTGCACAACAATGTGAGTGTATTTGATACTACTCAACTGTACACTTAAAAATGATTCAGATGGTAAACTTTATGTTATATGTGTTTTACCACAATAACAAAAAAAATGAAAAAAGAAAGAAAGGTTCTAAGTTCACCATGAATCGGTGAGGTGGTCACATTTGGTCCGCGACCCCTCCACACCACCAGAAAATCAGTCAGAGGCTCCCTGGGTGTGGACAGCAGTCTGTGGGTCACTGTCAGGCCCGAGGTGTCCTAATCATGAGGCGCCTGAGTCTGTGGGGCTGGAGCACGAGGCCCTGAGGCTTGGGGACAGGGAAGTGAGAAGATGCTTCCCCGAAGGAAACCAGACAGGGGATTCCGGCAGTTGCCCAGGGCTGACAACTTCAGACTCTGAGGAGCCTCTAGGTTAGACTGCTGGGAACAGGTATCAGGACAGGCCAAAGCCTTGAGGGGCACAGAGGGGGAGGAAGTGGTTTTGGGAGCCAAGGGGAGGGGCATGGGACATGTGCAAATGGGTCAGGGGATGAGGAGGATGGTTTATGGCGAACGGCTGTGACCAGCCACCATCAGCCTCCTCCGGGTTTGAGGTGGGGATTTAGTGTGCTCACTGCACCCCCCACCCCACTCCCCAACCCCAGGCCTCACCATGCTGGAGCTGAGATTCGGGTTGGCTGTCCTCATCATCTTCCAGCTGACTGGGGAACCCTGAAAGAGAGGGGAGAATATAATATGCTATACGGCTGTAGGGGGATGCCCTGGGACTGGCTCTGGCCTGGCGTCTGGCTCAGGGCTCATCCCTCAGGGCGGGTCCCCAGCAAAGGAGAAACAAAGTTTACACTCTGCCATCTTTGGAGGGCACAACTAGTGGTGAGCCTTGAAGGCAGCTGTGGGCAGAAGTGTGTGTGTGTATGCAGGTTTGTGCATGTACGGGTGTGTGTGTGCATGCACATCTGCTTATGCATGTCTGTGCACATGTGCACACCGTGAACTTCCTGCGTTTCCTGCACTTTGCCTTGTGGTAGAGATCTTGAGTGAGTTCTCGCTTCCTCCCCGAGAACATCCTTGCCCCTCAATGTTCTGTGTTTCCCCGCAGAGCTGTGTAAACAGAAGGCGTCCAAGAAACGCGCACTGAACAGAGTTCAACCGTCCTTCCCCTCAGTAGAGTCAGAGGGCTCTCCCTGTGACTCCTTCTGACCACGTTGCAAAAAGAAACCTCTTGGGCATTATGGGCTATTTGGAATTTCCTGGCTGAAAGGAGCCACCTGGTCCTTTCTCCTTGCATCTTGCCTCCCTGGCCAAGTGGGGTGGGGCAAGGTGGACGGAGGGGTCCTCCAGCTCCCCAGCTGATTCGGAAGCATTAGGGAATTTGCTCCAGGAGGTGCTCACAAGCCTGGAATTTTGTTTCTGGCTTGGCCACATTGTCTCTGTGTGACTCAGGTGGGTCCCAGCCTTCCCTGGGCCTCCCTGGCTCCACGCGATGGGGGCCAGCTGGCTGCCTGGCACCTCTCACGCCTGCCCTTACCGTCTCCGTGGCCCCAAGTGCTCAGCAGCGGCACCTCCAGCTCCAGCGGCACCTCCAGCTCCATGCACACACAGTGGATGAACGTCTCCCAGGTGGCCGGGCCTTGGGTGTACAGTTCCTTGAGCTGTAGGATGACCCTCTGTGTGGGGTCCAGGGCCTCGTTCCCAGAGCCCAGGTCCATGTTGGGGAGGAAGAACTTCACCTTGGCATTCAGCCATTCTGGGTCTTTGCTGAGCAGCCTCACGAGACAGCTCCACAGGTTCTTGGTGTCCAGCTGGAGGCTAATGGGGTCCATGAGGAGCTGGCCCTGAAGGGACATGGGAGGTAGCTGAGCTGGGGGGTAGCTGAGCTGGGGGGTAGCTGAGCTGGGGGGTAGGTGAGCTGGGGGACAGGTAGGCAGGGGGACAAGTCAGCTGTAGGGAAGCCACGGGGGCAGTCAAGAACCACTCCTCACATTTGAGGGGCAGAAAATAGGCAGACAAGTGGCTTCTCCGTGGAGTCTCAATGCTTCTGCCCAGGGCTCAGTCCCAGAGGTTAGTCTGCTTTTTCTGCACCTCGTCCCTTATCTGTGCCTGTGTCCTGGCTCTGCAACGGTCTAGTTCATCCCCCGTGGATGGTCCCCTGAGGATGCTTTATTCTTTCTTGTTTCCATGGACCCATTTGTGCCGCTCTCTATCTGAGCTAAGCTCACGGCAGAGACAACTAGTCCTCCAAAATCTGTTCCTCTCTTCTTCCTTAGTACTAGAACCCTTGCATATTCCCTGGTCATCTGGAATAGACTATATTTCCCAGCCTCCCTTGCAGTCAGATGTAGCCATGTAATTAAGTTTTGGCCAATGGGATATAGGTAGAAGGGTTGTATAGCCTTCTTTGCTTCTTCCTGTTGGCTGGAATGTCTACCTGATGGCTGAACCTTGGGCAGCCATGTTGGATCAAGAGGTGGAAGCCAGTGCTGAGGAAAGTGGAGAGTAAAGCTTTCCATCTGCCTTGGACTCTCTGACTTTGAATTTGTCTATTACATGACAGGGAAATACACTTCTACTCTCTTTAAAGCATGTTGCTTAGTGCTTTCTGCTACTCACAGTGAAATCTAATCTCAGCTAATGCAAACCATCTCTCTCTCTCTCTCTCTCTAAGCAAATTCTCCCCTTCTAAACTGGAACTTGCCCTACCAATCTAGGGCAAGGGGCACTTACATAGCAAAAGCCTAAAATGTATGCAGTCTCTTTGATTCAGCAATTCCATTTCTAGCACTCTAGCCTTAGGAAACAATCATGGATGTAACAGCTTTTTAATTACAAAGCTGTTCACTGCAAGATTATTTATAATAGATAAAAATTGGAAGCAACCTAAATCTCCAAAAATTGGGGATTTGTTCACTGCAAGATTATTTATAATAGATAAAAATTGGAAACAACCTAAATGTCCAACAATTGAGGATTAGTTAACTAATTGGTGGTCCATCATACAGTGGAATATGCTATAACATTTCCAAATGTACTTTCTGGTACTATTTCCCTAATAATAGCAGCAAACACTTAGAAAGTACTTACTACATGTTAGGCACTGTTCTAAGTGCTTTGTGTGTCTCATACAATCCTCACAACTCCAGAGACTCTATCTCCAACTCTGAAAAGGATGGGAGGCCCACCCTGAAGCCAGCCTTACCAACTTCCAGAGGCTGGGGCACAGGACTATGTGTCCTGCGGTTCAGATCCCAGCTCTTCCCTTGACCCCCAGCAGAGGCTTACTGGGCATGTGTCCCCAGTCCCCTTTGGTTATACCTCTGCAACCAGACTAATAGCAATAATTCCCTGCTCAGGCACAGAGCTTCAGAATTCATGAAACATGAGCACATCCATGGGGTAAGCAGGGATCACCACCCCCACTGAACACATGGAAAGACCAAGGCCAACGAAGGGTGAAGGATGTACCCCAGGTCAGACTGCAAGTTCATAGCAGAGCCAGGCTCAGAGCTGAGATTTCTTGCCTCCCTGGCCAGTAAATTTCCAAGGCCTTGGAGCCCTAGATGGCACCAAACGAGGCTAAATTCCTGGACTTGGTGTGATCTTGGCAAGAAGATGTGGCGATGACCGAGGGCACAGCTTCTTCTCTGGGCTACGGCGTCCAAAGTCCACGCTGCCCATAAAGAAATCACCCAGGGCAGCAAGGTGCCAGGTGGAGGTGAGGAGTGCCTGGATGGCATGATTTCATCCTCAAATTTCTCCTCCAGCCAGACTGACACAACGCCTTTGCTTCCACCATTAGTGCTCTACCCCTTGGGGTAAGACATCAAGCTCTTGAAGGATAACCATCCCTGGGAGAAAGAGCACATTACATCCTTATTGATCACTGAGGCTTCTGTAGCAGACAGCCTTGGAGACAGAGGATTATAGTAGAAAGATCCTCGGCCCCAGAGTTAGGAGACTGGCGTTCCTGTTGCAGCTCTGTAATAGTTCTCTGCGGTGGGCACCAGGGCTGTTCACAGATATTCTCTTTCTCCTCCTTCTAGCCCTTGGTAGGATTGTACTTCCCTGTCCCCTTGAAATTGGGCATAGCCATGAAACTGGCTTTGGCCAATGAAATGTGCTAAAGAATGACACATGCCCCATCTGTGCAGAAGTTCTAAGAGCCAATGTGTGATTCGCCATGCTCTCTTTGCTTCTCTACCACAGCAGTATTCCAGATCTTGGCTGCTCCCTTAGCCTGGGTCCGGGAAAGAGGATAATGTGGAATACAGGTCCCGGTTGATTCACAATAGACAAGAAGCAGGGGCAGGAAATAAACTTCTGTGGTCCTAAGCCACAGGACTTTGGAGGATGTTTGCTACTGCAGCGTAAACTAGCCTATCCCAGCTGATACAGTCACAATATGACCTTGAGCAAGTTTCTTCCCTCTCTGGGCCTCGGTCACACTGTACATGAAATGGGTAGGTTAAACGCTGTCTCAGGCCCTTGTTGATTTTCTGTGTCTGATGATTTTCACTCTCATGCTGAATGGTGGCTAAGGGTAGGTTTGCTGTGCTAGTGGCACATAGTGAGGTAAATCTGGGGAGGGGGCAGTCATGGTAGGGAGCAGGAGGGGAGGGAAGGAGTGGATAGGAGGGAAAGAGAGGAGGACAGGGGAAAGGTCACCTACTTGGCTTCCTGGTTCATCATAGATGTTCTAGGGTGTCCGTGGAGCGGGACTCATGGGTGCCTCGGCCACGTCCTGTGTCCTGAGCTGGATTTGAAGAGTGTTTCCACTGGGGAGGCCCCTAAGGAGACAGGAGACAGGCACTTTCCCCACTATCCCAAATTCCCAGAGGAATGCTGTAAAGAAGGTACCTGCCCGACCCCTCCTCCAGAGACACCTGGGAGGACACTCGGCCCAGAAACAGTCCCCTCACCTTCACGCACAGATCTTATCCTCCCTGACCAAAGCTCCTTTTGTTCCTGGACTTCACACAGCCCAATCCTCCCTGGTGTCACCTCCTGCAACTCAGACATTCACCTTACAGTGACTTGTGGCGTCAGAGTGTGCCCTTCAAATCCAGCAGAGACAGCTAATTTATTCAGATGAAAACAGAATAGTCCTCACTGCAGATGCCAGCTTCCTTTCCCAATAAACCACCCCCCACCAAAATGAGCAAAAGATTTGAACAGACATTTTTCCAAAGAAGATATACAGATGGCCAACAGGCACATGAAAAGATGTTCAACATCACTAATTATTAGAGAAATGCAAATCAAAACTACAATGAGATATCACCTTACACCAGTCAGAATGGCTATAACTAACAAGGTAAGAAATAACAAGTGTTGGAGACGATGTGGAGAGAAGGGAACTCGCATACACTGCTGGTGGGAGTGCAAACTGGTGCAGCCACTATGCAAAACAGCATGGAGATTCCTCAAAACATTAAAAATAGAACTACCATATAATCCAGCTATTCCACTGCTGAGTATTTATGCAAAGAACCTGAAAACACGAATGCCTAAAGATATACGCACCCTTACATTCTTTGCAGCATTATTCTCAATAGCCAAGACTTGGAAACAACCTAAGTGCCCATCAAGGGATGAATGGATATAGAAGATGTGTATATATATATACACAATGGAATACTACTCAGCTATAAAAAAAAGATGAAATCTTGCCATTTGAGACAACATGGATGGACCTTGAGGGTATTATGTTTTTTTTTTTAAAAAGCCATTTCTTTTTTTTTTTTTTAATAATTTTTATCTATTTTTTCCCCCCAAAGCCCCAGTAGATAGTTGTATGTCACAGTTGCACATCCTTCTAGTTGCTGTGCGTGGGACGCGGCCTCAGCATGGCCGGAGAAGCGGTGCGTCAGTGCGCGGCCGGGATCCGAACCTGGGCTGCCAGCAGTGGAGCACGCACACTTAACTGCTAAGCCACGGGGCCGGCCCAAAGGGTATCATGTTAAGTGAAATAAGTCAGATGGAGAAAGTCAAATACCGCATGATCTCACTCATAAAAAGAAGATAAAAACAACAACAACAAACAATCACATAGACACAGAGATTGGATTGGTGGTTACCATAGGGGAAGGGGGGAGGGAGGAGGGTGAAAGGGATGACTGGGCACATGTGTGTGGTGATGGATGGTAATTAGTCTTCGGGTGGTAAACATGATGTAGTCTACACAGAAATCGAAATATAATGATGTACACCTGAAGTTTATACAACATTATAAACCCACGTGACCTCAATAAAAATAAATAAATAAACTATTGTGAGCAAGCAAAACAAAAAACAGGCAGGAGAGATCTTGCTTCCTCTCTCTGCTCACTGCCATGTGAAGCTACAACGAGAAGGCGGCCATCTAGAAATCAGGAAGAGAGCCCTCACCAGATGCCAGATCTGCTGGCGCCTTGATCTCGGATTTTCCAGCCCCCAGAACTGAGACATAAACGCATGTTGAGTAAGCCACCCATTCTATGTCACTGTTATAGCAGCCCAGATTGACTCTGACAAACCTGCTGGTGACCGCAGAAAGTAAAGGAAAAAACCCTTTCAGTTAACTTGTAGATTTAAGGCAAGGCCACTTAAATCATAGCAGAGAGCTTGATAAAATTATAACAGTCATTTAGACCAAAAAGAGCAGATATGACAAGTGTCTGTATGCCTTAAGTCTATCATAACAAACGTTTTAAGTTAGAATTAATAAAAAGAAAAAAAATGAAGGCAGTTACAGCAAAGACTATTTGTTGGGAGAGGCAGGCAATAATGGAGAGGCTTCCCAACATAGTTAAGGGCATTATAAAGTGACTGTTATTAAAACTTTATGGTACTGGATTAAAAATAGAAAAATTGACCCAAGGAATGGAATAAAGTTCAAATTAGCTTCACAGTCACTTAAGACTCAACATTTAATACTCAATAGTATTAAGACAAAAAATAGTATTAAATATATAGTATTATACATATTTTATATAGTATTATATATATAATACATAGTATTAACACACATGGAAATACAAGTATTTTAAATTTAAACAATTATTTTTTAATTAAGTAATTAAATTAAAATGTTCTGTATAGGCAGATTAAAACCACCACCAGATACCATTTCACACCCATATAGAATGGCTGTAATGAAAGAGAAGACAATACTAGTGTTGATGAGGATGTGGAGAAAGAGAAACCCTTATATCCTGCTGATGGGAATGTAAAATGGTGCAGCCACTTTGGAAAACAGTTGGCAGTTCATTAAAATGTTAAACATGGAGTTACCATATAATCTAGCAATTCCCCTCGGGTCTGTACCCAAGAGAAATGAAAATATACATCCACACAAAAACTTGTACACAAATGTTCATTATCCGTAATAGCCAAAGAGTGAAAACAATCCAAATGTCCAAAAACTCATGAATGGATAAAGAACATATGATATAGCTATACAGTGGAATATTATTCAGCAATAAAAAGGAATAAAGCACTGATACGTGCTACACACGGATGAACCACAAAAACATTATGCTAAGTGAGAAAAGTGCCTACTGAAGTACATTATTAAGTAAATCCAAATTTAACAAGCTATGGCACGCGTATGTTTTAAGTGTGTGTGTGTGCACGTGTGTGTGTATTTGTATACATAGAGACCAGCTCTAGGGCTACACAGGAAACTGGTGACAGGATTGTGTCTGGGGAAGGGACCTGGGGGACGCAGGCAAAGGAGAGCCCTTGCACTGTACTCCTTTGGACCACTCTGTACCATTCGAACTTTTTAAAGGGAGCATTTTCATTAAAAAAAAAAAAAAAAACAGAAAAACATTTACATTAAAAACTAGAGTAGACATTTCCTTAATGTGTAAGGAAGAGAAACACGTGATGAGAGTCAGCACGAGAAATGATCAGTGATGGCCCACAGAAATGGAAGTTCCCTACATAATGTAAAATAATAAAACTAAAACACGAAATAGGAAGGCAATCAATGGGGAGAAACGTCTGCATTAAGGATGACAGACGGAGGCTGAAAATTCAAATAAAAAAGTTCTTCATACATATTGAGGAAATATTTTATTCTACTTTTTAGTTTAACATTTGTGTGTGTGTTACGGGGACAAAACTACATTTTCGCTGGAGAAGTGGTTGAAAAAGTTGAACAGACACTGTAATGAATATTTGCTAAATGCCAGCGCCTTTGAGCCTTGTCTATTTAATTCTCACAACTACTCCTCTTGGACGGCTCCTATGAATTTAAAAACTTCCAAGTCCAAAACTGAACTCCTGGTCTTCCCTCCCAAGCTGGTGCCTTCCCCCATCACCTTCCCCATTCCAGCAAAGGGCTGCCTCACGCTTCCGTTAACTCAAGCCGAGGATGGCTTCATTTTTCCACAGGTATCACAGGATCTCACTTCCTCCACTGCTATTGTCTTGACCTGGCCATAATTTCTCACGGATTCCTGTACCAGGAGACCTGGGCTCCCTTCTCCTGCCTGCTCCCACATCCTCCAGAGAGTTAGATCAGCCCACATTACGTGCCTTTGCCACCCAGAACCTTCCCATCTCACCCCGAGGGAAAGCCAGAATCCTTCTCAACACTATCAGTGGTTCGAACAGTCTTTAAAAAGTCAAACTTGATCACTTTAACATTTCCCTCCTTGTGTTAATTGTTTTCCCTTATTTTTAAATTAACTTTTGGCAATTTATGTTTTTTTGAGACAATTGCTCATTTTGTCAAGGATGTTCAAACTCAGTATAGCCCACAGTTGTGTATAATATTTACTTGTATATAATATTTAAATCTCCTCACATCTTTACATTTAATTTAGTTTATTTTACTTTTTCTTTTTCTCCTTATTAGATTTGCCAGCAGTTGGTATCTCTTATGTTTAAAAACAAACTTTCATTTTCGTTTATCAATTCTGTAGCATTTTCCCTTTTCTAGTTTTATAATTTTGGTTTTTATCTTATTTCTTTTCCCTGATTTACTGAGACTGTTTATTACTCTTTAACTTTTGAGTCAGTTTATTGCTTAGGTCATTTCTAGTCTTTTGTTTTTAAAAAATAATAAGAGAAAACACTTTTGGCCAATTTCCATAAATTCATATCAAGTTTTATATCGAATTTAGATTAGATTACCAGTAAATTATAATTATAATTTTGAACTGAGTCATTTAACAGAAAGGTTAATTATTTTTTAAAACTTAGCTATTAATTTTTTGTTTTACTGTACTGTACAAAGAATAAGTCCTATACAATTTCTGCTTTGGGGAATATGTTGAGATTTTCCTTTTTTGCTTGGTGTATGACAAATTTTAAAATATTCCATGACATTTAAAAAGATATTCTTTTTCAATTAAGATTTCTATCTCACAAATTATGCCAAAATAAAGTCTAGATGGGTCCAGGGGCCGGCCCCGTGGCTTAGCGGTTAAGTGCGCGTGCTCCGCTACTGGTGGCCCGGGTTCGGATCCTGGGCGCGCACTGAGGCACCGCTTCTCCGGCCGTGCTGAGGCCGCGTCCCACATACAGCAACTAGAAGGATGTGCAACTATGACTTACAACTATCTACTGGGGCTTTGAGGAAAAAAAGGAGGATTGGCAATAGATGTTAGCTCAGAGCCTGTCTTCCTCAGCAAAAAGAGGAGGATCAGCATGGATGTTAGCTCAGGGCTGATCTTCTTCACACACACACACACACACACACACACAAAAAGTCTAGATGAGGCCAAAATTTAAATGTAAAAAGTTAAACCATGAAAGTACTGGAAGACTATATGTATTCAATTTACCACAATTCATGAAGCTGTATGTTTAATTTTTTGTATTTTTTTCTGTGCTATATTTCACAACAAAAAAGTTAAAAATTTTTAAATGCTAGAAGAAAACATGGGAAA